TATCAGTTTAATGCAGTTTAACTTATCAGAGTGGGATTAGTGACTTGGGCAAAGCCACCATCTTCCTGCTAACGGTAATGTGGTCAAAAGGGTGGTTGGACTCTGGCTGATCTTATCCCGTACCAAGGCTATGATCATCATTCCTGCGTATCTCATTATCACATGTGATGAGCTTCATCAGCTGCACCCTGCAATTAGGCTGGGGAGCAACCTGCTATCACAGCGGAGAGCCTCCAAACCGCACGGCCACTGTCGCTCCTCCTTAGTTACACAACATCTTCTCAGCACAACTCGCATTAAAAAATGATGTTTGTCTGCTGGTGGAAATGTGACTGTGTGAGCTTCAGGGTGCACTGTCGCCCAGCGGTTCTTTCAAAAACCAAGCCGAGAGCAAGAAAGGCAGCAGGAAGTAAAGTGCTCCCACACTGACTTCCTCACTCCCTGATCCTCTTCAGTCATTAAAACATCATATTCATAACTATTTTAATGGTTTCAAGGCAAATGTAAAAATTCCTGCGGAATTAAAAGAAGTTTGGTGAGAAGTTGACAACTGAAGCCACTGAAGGAACCTAATGTAAGCATTAAAAAACAAAACACATTTAAATAAGCCTCCAGAATCGGTGTGCCAGTCCACAGAGGATTTTTATACTTCCTTTTGTAAGTGGAGAACTCGGAATTGTTTAGTGATGTGAAAATGACCCAGTAGGTGGCAGTACACAGCCTTCAGTGAGTAGGTTTGCATTGAACTTCATAAACATATTTATGTCCCAAAATATAATTTTAAGATTATTTTGTGGGAAAACACTTTACTTTGTGATTTGATCATGCGAATATGATGCCATTTGTCTCTGTCCTGATGCTGTCAGAGGTGTACAGCCACACTAGATTAATAGGTGATCTGTGCTCTGTGTACTTCTGTCTGTTTTGTTTTGATTACCCAGCATCTCAAATGTGTCTATCACAGTGATGTTTATATACAGTGTAATGGGCGATTGAAGTACATGAAGTACCACGCCTTGACCACATGGTAGTGAACAGGTTTATAGCAACAGAAAACCATGTCCATAAGGCCGCTGTTTTGAGTCAAATGGGAAAAGGTTAGCTAACGAAGACCCCTGCCCGCCGCCTCAGGCATTGTAGCCGACTGCCTATCTAAATGAGTGTATGATCTGTGACCTCCTGTCAAGCCCAGGGCCTTAGGTCCACCCGGGTCAAGCAAGGTGACTTTAAAGAGTCTCCCACACTGTTCCATAACAAGTCGTTTCCCTCATCCCAGGACTCAACACATTCTCCCCGTTGATTATGAAACCCTTGTGTGTGACTGCGACTGTGATGATGCAGGGGGTTGGAGACCAGTGATTACGAGCTTAGAGAAACCTGTTAGAACCTGTTAAACCCAGAACATCTGCTCCCTCAAATATTTTGATTCCAACCGTCCTCCATGCATCATTAAAGTGAGATGTTGTTTTTTTTTCTCTCCTCAACTCATTTAAAGGTTCCTTTATCTACTGTAGAAGCTCACATTAACGACGAGGAGCCTCTCTCTGGTTCCTAGATCCTATAGATAACAGATAGAAGCCACTGGGATCCATCAGAGGTTTTTTAATGAGATGGTGCAGCTGTTGTGAGGCTGTTCTTAAGACAAAAACGTTGCATTAGTGCAGATTTTGTTACAGCTGAGAGAAACAGCCTGTCTCTGTTCTGTCACAACACTACACCGTTGTATCACTGTTGATGCACTTAACTGCAAGAAACTCCCTGTGGTCATTTTGGAATCTTTCCCATTGTTCTTAAAGGAAAGTGGGGCTTTCATATGGAAGTGGGGAATGCCAGGAAATGACAGGCATTCTTTGTGGACTATTCGAAAATAAACGTTTGGTCCTTGCTTCCCTCTGGACAGCTAAGCAAAACCAAAAATGAGCAGAAAGGATTATGGTCCGAACAATCCCACAATGCCTTTTTCACTTTCCTAACATTTCCAGCAGCAATTTTTCAGCCCAAAATATATTTTCTTATCAGGTGTACTGGAGACGTTTAATCACAGTTGCTGCCGTAAGGCTTTTGTCGAGGGTTTTTTCAGGAACTTCTTTTCCGCTACATTCACTGAATGGCCGCATTCAGAATTTCTTTTCTCCTTATTTTTATATTTGTCCTTATTTTGCCTTATTTTTCCTCCTGGCTTTAAACACAAACCCAGTGTTTGAGCTGGGCTTTATGAGGTGTGACAGTGAGGTCTGGTTACCACGACAGGAACGTAAAGCTCCTCATTCAGCCGGCTGCGGTCGGGTTGAGGGACTACTCAAACTCACTTCACCCCTATACTACACCTCGTATACAGGAACTGCCTTCATTCTGCTGAGCCGGCAGCAAACTTCAGGAGAAAAAAATAGATGTAGAAAAATAGAGTTCCCCTTCTTTGTCCTCAGATGTTTGAATTGCTCACATGGACACTACCGTTTACCTATAAAAGAAGCTCCAGCAGCACATGGTGATTTCAGATGGTAGTTTCATGTGTATCATTTTATGTCAACAAATATAACCACTGTTAAATGTAAAACAGATGTGCTTTGTACTCTGCACCACTTCCTTTCTTAACTCTAGACTTAAGGGCTCAAACTCCTGGCCCGAGGGCCACTTCCGGTTTGTGAACCCTCCACATCTGGCCTGTGGCAATTGTTAATAATAATGTCATATATGCCCTTGAGGCAGTTTTTTTTAAAAAATGTGTGTATTATTTTCAACTATTAAAACGCTTCAGTGTTTACATTGTAGTATTATACCGTATTTAAATTTATATTGAACAAAAAATACTTCTTCTAGAATATTACCCATGATCCTACCCTGATTTGGCCCTCCAATGAAATGACATTGATAGCAGTCTCCCTCCACTCATTTGAGTTGGAGACCCCTGTTCCAGACCACAGACTGTTTAGTCTCGTCGTACCTCCGATTTACACCCATTCCTCCCCTGCCCTTCCTCCTCCTCCTCTTGTTTTTTTTTCCCAGGCCAGTCGCTGGTAGTTCCCAGGTATTTGACCAGTGTAGCGTACGCAGGAGGTTGCTTGTTCTGTGCCCCCTGTGAGACAAAGGCAGCGTGCCTGAAGGAAAGGGATGAAAGGAAACGGGGCTGTGCAGCCACTCCTTTTTACAATGGGAAACCTCCTCATTGAGGCTGTAGAGCAAATAGCCACCTTCTCTCTTCCTCTTCTTAACAAGCACGGCCACTGCCAGAGTGTGTCCATGTCTTTTTAGTAGTAGCAGTGAGAGCAGGACCAGTGCTGTGTAGATGTGAGTGTGAGCACGCAAAAAGGAAGGGACTGTCCGTGCTCAATGTCTACGTGCAGACGGCGCCTGGTTTCCTTTTCCGTACACCTGCTCAGTTTAGGGACAGATGGTGCCTGTTCTTCTTAAAGACGTTTCCTGTACAAAGACTGTGGTAACAGGAGTGAATACAGAGCTGGACTGAAGGGCATTTTATCTGTTGAATGTACAAACACATAAATTAATGACTAATTAATTACTATTTTAATCAATAGTTATGATGATAGTTGTTCATTTAATGTATGAAGATTAAGCCACAGGAATGAAAAATAATACAAAATTAGAAACAAATAATATTTTTTGAAAATGATGATCAATAAAAAAAATGGATGATAGTTGTTCATTTAATGTATGAATATTAAGCCACAGGAATGAAAAATAATAAAAAATTAGAAACAAATAATATTCTTTGAAACAAATCGATCGGTGAACAAAATTATTTGATGACTCAATGATCATGATGATCAATAAAAAAATAACTTGCTTGTTTTTGGCCAAAATAGTTTAGTGGCTCTAAAACTACATTAAAATAATGAATTTTCCAGATTAGTAGTAAAATGTATTCAGACAAACAAATCAAAAGCCTTATCTAAACTAAACCGTTTTCAAATTTAAATAGAAGTCAATACCAATATTTCAGTATGTGCCGCATGCTAACACTTAAGTTGAACGTGCACAACAGTTAGCTCAGTGGTGTTTAGGCTACCGGCTAATAGCGAGTGTTGTCGTCAGGGGGAGGGAGTGGAGGCTGCAGTAGGGTGGAGTATTTTTACGGCTCCTGAGACAACCTGTTCACAGGCACTTATCTTCTGGCACTTTTTTATGACATCATAAATCCCTCCATTTCCTCTAAAGCAGCACTAGGTGGGTATAAAGGACATACCTGGCTAGTAATTGTCTGTCTGGGCCTGTCATCTGTCAGTCTGGGGACTTCCTCCAGAGCCAGACTCTCAGTCTGACTGCCTGAAGACACTCATAGGTCTCTAAGATGTGGACACTGGACCAATAAACACAGTGATTCAGTGGAGGAGCTAAAAGAAGGCTCTGCTCTGCAGTGTTTTGTAGACACTTCATACCGTAACTCCGTTTGTCATTTAAGGTCAACAATTGGAGTTGACCTGGCACCCACGCTCCAGTTCTCTCCCTGCCCACAGCCCACTCACTCTTCGACCTGTGGATACCTTTTGTTTGTGGGAGTCTGAGGATAAAAAGCGAAACAGAAGGGGTTCGAGGGGGGAAGCAGTTTTTTTCGGGAGGTGGTGGTGGTGAAAGGAGAAGCTCTCAGTGTCCACATTCATCCGATGCTCAGCTGGGCCTCCTCAGGGAGGCCGGAACAATACTTGCACCAGCACGACAACATTCCTTGGGGTTAAAACGGTCAGGGGTCAACCAACAACCCCACCCAGCCAATCAGTCCCCAGGCATAAGTCGCTGCATTTGTTTTTGGTTTATGTCTTCGCACTTGTTGGACAGACTCTGCACCTTGTGATGCTCTCCCTCCAGCCCTCTGCTCGTTTCAGTTGACTGGGCAGTCATGGAGTGCTTTCACTTTTTATAATGTTCAGTCACGTCGCCTTTTATTAAGAGAAGGAAAGTCAGAATAGTCCTATTTTGTTAGTGCTATCTGTTAAAAAAATAAATAATCAAAATTACAAGTTTAAAAAAAATAACTTTTTACTCTAAATGATTTATGAAATGATTGTACCTTTTAAGGTGACCCAGCTTCATGTGTTTAATTATATGAAAGCGTTGAAGAAATTCAAATGAAAATGGCAGCCTGAGGCACTTACAGTATCACAGCCAGATGTTTGGCAGGCCCCCATCTTTGTAAACTTGAAAAAGAATAACCACAAAGCAGCCAAACTGTAATTAATGTCCTTATTTTAAATTGATTTAAATTCCTACTGTATGTCATCTAACCCACAACAGTCCAGTATCAGGCTAATGAGAGCCCTTGTAGGTTGACGCAGTCATATACGTGCTCCGTGATGAAAAAGAAAATCTGGGTAATTTTTTTTTTTTTTCATTTTGCGTGTGTGTGTGCCTGCGCGTGCACCGGGACACACTTCAAATAAAGTCTGAAGGCTGCCATTAAAGTGAAGCATATACATGTGTAGGCAGGGACTGGGGTTTTCGTGGGGCCCCTGCAGACAGACTGTAGGTCTGTTAGCGATTACCAGTGAATGTACAGTGTACACTGAAGTGGACATATAGCTACATTAAAGGCCTGACCCTCAGCCATATCAGACCACCCCAGAGACACACCACGGGCACGCCCTCCACCCACTCAGCCTCAGGGTCAGCTCCATTTGGGATTTCCTGCAGGATGTACTGGAAATTAATCATGTGATGATTAGGAAACGCTCCCAATAAAAAATCAGAGAGGTTCTAACCTGGTTTGGAAGCTCAAAACACAGGAAGTGTCGCTAATTTGTGTTCTCCAGTGGGTGTCTAAGAGTGGAGTGTTTACGTCTTTTGTCTTCTCCACCTGCAGGTGTTCACGCAGTGCCTCCAGATGCGGACAAGTGAGACTGCAGGAAGATTGTTTCCAGCAGGTATACAGTTAACACCACTGATTCTTAAAGCTTTTTGTACAAGCCGACAAACTTAACGCCTCTATCCTGCAATTCATTTCTAGATTTCTCTCACCAAAAGAGTTACTCCTATATTTTTACATTGATATTACTCCCCAAACAGTAAAGAAAACACAGATATTTACCACGCTGAATCTGGAATATGTGGCTATTTTTGTTGATTTCTTTTATGTAGATTCTTCTCAACTGCTGCATGAGTTAAATTAAATTAAAAAACAAAACTTAATTTTTAATGTGAGAATTAAGTTTTATTTCTTTCTGTGGACTGTTACAGGAATTCATTTGGCACTTTTTTCTATCCATTTAATTGTTTTACTGCCACCTACTGGGTCTGTTTTTCCATTGCTAGATCTTTTCTCACACATGGGAAAAATCTATTTTTTTTAGTGAATCATAAGAAAAAGAGAAAATACAGGTCAGCAGCATATTAAATTTACTTTCATGTATTATTTTAAGGAAAATGACATAGACTTAACTGTAATACATCACAAATTAAGCTTAAAAAATAAAAAATCTGAAACTGTAGACCCACTCTTTAGACGTTACTGCTGCATGTTTCTCATAAACTCTATAGTTTCTCTTTTGTCCCGCCTCCTGCTGCAGACTCGCTGCACTCACAGCTCCAGCATGAACATAAATCAGCGTACAGTATATGGAAGGCGACGTCGCTCTTCATTAGACTGCAGTTAGGAATGAAAGCCTATCTGGCTGCAGCTGTGGAGGAGCTCCAAAAGATGGGGACGTTTATTGTCAGGAACAAATAGAGGCCTTTTTATTTTGTCTAGCAGCTGACGCCTCTCCCCACCCACTCCTCCACAACCGCTTTTGTCAGTAATGTAGAGTGGCCTGCTCAGGCACGAACAAGAGACTGGGAGGGTTTTACAACAAAAATAAACTTAAACTTTAACAAAAAAAAAATAGAGGAGGGGTTTTGTCCGTGATTGGCTGATGGAGGGAGCACACGGCTGTTTGCCATATGGTGTAATTATCTGCCATTTTAAAAGATTATGTGCCTTCACTAATATAGTGTATAAGTGTGTGTGTGTGTTGGAGATTTGATCTCTTGTACACCCGATGTAACGATGAAGCTCTGTGCCCCCCGTTTAAACTGGGTTAGCTATGATTTTCCCACTCAAAATCCCCAGGTCCCTGCCCCCTCACACACACACACACACACACACACACACACACACACACTGAGTATCCACATATACACAGAGTCTGTGAACAAAAAAGAAATATTCAGCTGTGGAGCGGGGGTCCCTCAAAGGGCGCGACATTGAACTGGGGGGATTAAGGAGAAATAGCTGGCTGACATAGGGGTTGCCATGGCGAAGCCCCCTTTTCTGCTCTCCCTCGACCCTCCGCCTATTCTTCATTGTGGCGTGAGGTGTTTTCTGGAGCAGCGCAGATCTAATATGGCTTATATGAATTCAGTCTCTTATCTGCCGTGTCCCGACAGGACGGAGACCCCCAGATCACCCACTGCACTTTATTTTGTTTCCCTCTTGTTTATAAAGTGGCCGTAAATATCCCAACACATCGTTGGACATTATTTCTCTCCCATAAAATATATTTCTGTCTCAACGGTCACACCAATCATTTTGATGCTTGTTTGCATATTCATAAAGAAAAGGGCCTGACGGAGAGAAACACGAGGGGAGATGGAGGGGGGGGGGACTTATTCAACGTATCAAACCTACTCACAGCATAAAAACCAAATTGTCTGTTTTATCACCTGTGAATTACAGCTGCAATAATGCCATGCATTAGTCATCCTTTGTAGCCCAGTCAGTCTATTATCATGCCAGTCTGAAGTCGACCTGTCAGACTCACCGGGGTAATTGATGCAGGCTTGGCATGTGTGATGACATCAGCAGCGCGAGCCCATGAATGACTGTAGATCAGCGTTTACCATCCTGACGTCAACCCCCGGTCTGCTCTCTGGTGCAGTGACACTGTCGCTGGTTGTTCCCCGGCCGCGCTCTGCCTCTGACAATGGGAGCTCTCAGTCTGTGGTCAGGCGATGGCTGGGGCAGAAAACACCAGGCTTCACAGTAGGACATCGTACAGCATTGTTCTCCCGTCTAGATATTCATAAGAACTGTGGTGGAACTGTTCTGAGCACAGACAGACAGAGAGGGTGTCAGTGAAACAGGGCAAATGTGGAGTCTCTCCTAACACTAAACATTTCACAAAGTTATCTTCATTATTATCCACTGTGAAAATCAGTCTTAAATACAGGCCGTTCCTGGCAGACATTGTCAACGACGGCCTGATTTTGATATGTAAAAATAGCAAAGGGCAGACGGCTCCACCTGTCATCCTTAGGACTATAACTCTGGTGCATGTAGTACACAGCATATGACATATGTGTTCTGTGCATCAACTAGGACACAGCCACACGTTTCAAAGTAATGACTAATGGTAAACCTAAATAGACCAGGTAGCTAAAAAAGCTCAAAAATGAAGCTAAATCTTAGCAACAACATTAGCCCAAATACTCCTATATGAATCTATATACAAAATATTTATTATTAGCAAAAAGATTAAATAGAAAATTAATTAACATGCAAAAGTAGAGCAGGTTTACAAAATCCTGAAAGACCAGAAAAAAAACATACTTGATAAATTTTTAGCTAAAACGTTCAAATACATCTACAAATGTCAAATAGACCGGATTGTAGGATTAAATATTAGACCAAACTATGGGAAAGTTATATTTTGAGGCCATTATCAGATCGTATGTTTGGACCGTCTGTTTTCTAACGGTTCCATGTGGAGGAGGTGTCTGCTTTGAAAATGTTTCTGCCTCCGTCACATGAAAGATGAATGGATTTCCTTCTCTAATGTCAGTTGCATTAAACATTACATTTAAATAATAAATAGCAGCACTTCATTCCAAAGCCATTGATGAAAATGTAGCTATGAAAAAAACATGCTCAGGATTTATAGATTATTCAGTGTAGATGGACTTTTTAATGGGACAAACAGTGTTGTGACCACAGTGCTGGTATATTTTATTTAAATGAGTCATTTTTATAAATGTAAAGTCTGACATTTTTCCTTCTCCCTAATTTTCAGATGTCGTGCCGGAGGAATTTATTCTTATTTGTGTGTGATTTAAATGTTCCAGCTCAAACACACTCCACTGTGTGTTGTCTGTTAAACATGACGAGACGTGACCGTGGAGCCTGTGGACAGAGCAGGACCCACTCTGACACTGTCCTCTGTCATTACGTCCCTGTTCTCTGCATCCTGACCTCAGTGGTTTGAGTGATGACCGTGGCTGTGACCTCCTTCCTTGGCATGCCTGTCCTCCCTCCTCCTCCTCCTTGTCCACCCTCCTACTCCTCCTCCTCTGTCCTCCTGTTGTCCTGTCTGTCAGTTCAGCTCACAGTCAAGACCTGCGTGTCTCGGGGAACATTCAACGCTGTCGGTGAGTTTGGTATGGATCACATGAAAACCATCGACCGTTGATTGTGCCCCGCGGCTCGCTGCCATGACGTCAGGAAGGAGAAGAGAAAAGGTAAAACTTTAAGAGGCAAAAAAAAAAAAATACAGGGACTGATTTAGGCAGATTCCACAGCACCAAACGTCCAAAGGTCACAATCAACATTCATTGCTGTCGCTGGGTTGGACTTATGTAGAAAAGCTCACTGAACAATGAGTGCAACTGTGGCCCAAATCTCCCTGACTCCACCAATCAGCCCACCGGATGTCACTGCCTCTGTTGTCTTTATTTAAACTACTTCTTGTTTTAACTTCCATTTTCCTCCCCTCCTGTTCACTGGCAGTCTTCAGAAGTGAGAGAGGCAGAGAGAGAGAGAAGACGATCGAGACACAAATAGACTTCTGGCTGCTTGATTGTCCTCCTCCTTCTCCTTCTCCTCTCCTCTAATTGGTGGTTATGTGTGCAGCAAGGGGGAAGGAAGCGGAGTGAATGTGTAATCATTTGGAGTCTCTTCTCCTCTTTAGATGTTTCATCACTCTGTTTTTTTTGTTTGTCTAATTATACACCAGGCTGGGTTAACTCTGTGTTAACTGCGCTGGTAGGAATCAGCAAATTACAAAGGGAAGGAACGAGGCTAGTTTAAAAAAAAGTGTCAAAATGAAAGGCTCAGCGGCAAAAATATTTGTAATTTGATGTGTGATGTGTGTGAGTTTCTGCTGCAAATATGTGGAAAAAATACAGTTGTTTTCACCTTTATGACCTGGGACGTCTCACTATGTGTGTGTGTCTGCTGTGATTGAAGACCTCTAAACTAAAGCCAGGTGCCTCATGGGAAAAAACAGACCGTGTGTATAACCTTGTGTTCCTGCAGACCGTCTGTGAGTGGCCATTCTTCATCGTCCTCTTCTGTAGCACCTTCACTGACACTGCGTCTCCCATCAGTAACTCAGGTGTGGTGTTCACACACACACACACACACACACACACACACACACACATGCTGTAAATATATATTTAAGTTCAGGTGTGTGTTTTATGTCCTGTTGATGTTTGCTGTTAACTTTTATCGACTCCTTTACTCTTCCAATAAAGTCAGGAACCACAGCACTACAGTGTGTGATGTTGTCACTTCCTGTGTGAATTCACTTACTCAGGATCAATAAAATAATACATTTTTAAATGCTTTTAAACAGAACACTTCCTGTATTCCAGGTTTTCACTGAGTTCTCCCGTCAAATCCCTCTGAGATTTGTGGGGTCTTCTGTCATAACTCTTGGTCTTTACTTCAATCCAGACACTTTCTCAGGGATTTAAGGCAGGACAGTCACTGACGTTCACCACTGACATATCACATGGCACCTGTCTTGGTTCTGAACTACAGTATAGACCTTCTGTAGGAGCTGTGATGACACAGAGGTCACTTATCAAAAGAAGCTTAGGTTTAAAAAAAAAGGCAGAACTTAGTGTAAAATGACAACTGCTACTGTGTACCCTGTTCTGTGAGTACCATGTCCTTAAAGGTACAGTACATGCTCCTCCCATTCATTTTAGGCTCATATGTCTAAAGGTAATAATTAGGTGCGGACAGACTTAATAACATAGCTCCAGTCTGTGTCACCTTCCTCGAGGTTGTCTTCAGCAGACTTTAGTCAGGCTTGGAGACATTTCTTTCCTCTTCCTCACAGCCCGTTCCTGTCTCAGTGTCTGAGCAGCCTCAGACTTGTTTTCTGACCAGAGGTTTTCACATTTTTTAATTTCTATTTTTGCCACATTTGCTCTGTTATCAGGGGACTGTTGGAAAACATTATTATATATATATTTACTCCTGTTACTTGGAGACATTTTATGATTTCATTGCTCTGTCCACATACTCTTTGTTTTTTGTCAAAACTCAAAATGAATGATTTCACAAGAGAAAAACTCAAAGCCTAAAATCATTCTTAAATGCTGAAAAAAAGCTTAAAAGGATCCTTTCCCTTGGTTTTTATTTTATTTTTTATCATGCTTTGTGCCGATCCAAGATTGATCCAGATTATTTATATTTTGTTGTGAAATACTTGAGATAGGTATGCAACTTAAAGTATTATACTGTATATTTATATATAATATAAAATAACAGTGGGGTTTTTTTTTGTCTCTGTCGTTCGGTAGGCCTGCTCTGTGTCCGTGTCCCCGTCTACAGCCCTGTCTTTCTGTATTATTCATAGGAAAGCTCTCTGTGCACTGGTGCAGAACAGTGGAGGTGATGTAACAGTGGCTCCGAGCGCGGCTCTGGACTGTCATTTGGGATGGACTCATGTGTGAGTCACTTTCTTCTGCTCTGTTGGTGCTGCCCACAGTGGCAGCTGAGGGCCACACTGAAGTCATGGTGCGTTTGTGAAAATCATGCATAAAAAATAAGCAAATAAAGGTGCCTTTTATTTAGTCGGACACACCGAGAAATGTATGTCAAAAATGTAAACCTACTCCATATATCAGCGTTGAAGACTCAGTCATTAGTCCGTTTTGAACCAAATAATTGAAATTTTAATAACTGCGTTAGGTACTACTAACGTTAAGTTACCACTCAGTACAAAAAGAGACAATAAAATAAAAAACAAATTATTTTAAACCTTTATCACGAATGGGCGTCAAAGCATGGTTTCGAAAATGAAGTCAGAGTGCTGCCATCTAGTGGTGATAATATTTACTCATCTTATAGTCTGGATAATGTCACCGAGAGAAGACGTTGACCTCATGTTTTATTCTGTTTATATTTGAATGATACAGTGGTGAGAACATCGTAAACAAATTGAAGACCTTTAAATATATATGTTACTGTATGGCTTGTACGGACCTGGAGGTCAGTAATATTCATAAAAGTACACACAATTTATAGAAGTAGTGGTAGTATCTGGTTGCCATGAAATATTATTAATTTGGAAAAAAATAGCATAAGTTTGGAACTAGCAAAAAATTATATATAA